ACTAGTGCCACTCCTTTGAATGAAATCATTCTGAACATTTATAGGTGATATGATACCTGAGCATGAATCTGATGTATTCTGGGAAAGGAGTTTTAACTACGCTATTAAAAACAAAACAAAAACAAAAACGAAACAACTCATGGGCATGGTTGTGTTTCAATAAAACTTTAAGAAAACTGATGACCTGCCATAGGCCCTCCTACTTTGTCAACTCTGCTTTGCATGATTTCTTAAGAGAAATTCAGAAATTCTTGTACACTATATCCCTCACATTTTATTATATTTAGGCACTCAAGAAGCATTGCAGAAAAGAAACCTTATTAATTAAAAATAAACAAACAACAACAACACACACACAAATACATGTTAACAGCCTAGAAAGCTAGCATTTTCCCACAGAAGGCACTATGGCCAGAAGAGACGGTCCCTGAATCTTCTAGTTCTCACCTGGGTCAGGATAAGCTCACCTGCTCTAGCACTACGTCCCGTTTTCTAGTCCTGCTTATTCTGAAGTACAGTATTATTTATAGTGGCTAAGAATGCATTGCTCTAAAACCAATTCCTGAATTAGCCACATTATTGAAGCTACATTGGTTAAACTCCTTAACCTCTTTGGGTCTCAGATTTCTCTTCTGCAAAATGAGGTTAATAATATATTAACCCACATCATGGTCTATGTTGTAGAAAACGAGTTAATATATGTACTATTAAAGTGCTTAAAACAGTACCTAGAAAAGAATATATGAATTCAATTTAAGTATAAATTAAGCCTAAGCAATTACTAACATACCTAGCCAATTCTTTTCTTTTTTCATTATTATTATTTTTTAATTGCCAGAGTTCTCAAATACTGCCCCACAAAAAGACACAACGCTAAAAGGTCTTCATTATGACTTTCAGTAATGACCCAGGACATGGTGAAAACCGGCCCCTCCACTAAGGATGCAGGAAGTGTCCCACTGCCCTCCCCTCCTGTCCCCTATCCCACACCAAACACACATGCTTAACCTTCTCAGTTTCCTCTCTGAGTAAAAGACTTCTTGGGGATCCCTGAAGGTGCTCTGCAGCCAATCAGACTGAGAGCAGCTGGGCAACACCTTTAGCTCTCACAAAGTTCCACAGTCTCCTTCTGGAACAGGGTCGTGGTTTACCCTCTTTCCAACAACCCACAAGGAAATAACTGGCAAATAGCCGTCCAACATCTGCAGCAGCACCATGACCACACGGAGAGGCGGGTTACCCACAAAGATGGGTAGGTGACGGAGTTCCCCGGGCCAGCAGGGCAAACACAGGTCAGGGAAACTGGGGAGGTGGCCTCAGATCTTCACAGTGGGGCCTACTTTCTTAAAAATATTGGGAACAAATTTCTGACAGAATCCCTTCAAAAGTCACATACACATTACTGTTTACTATTAGGCCACTTCTTCTCTCCTTTGATGAGAATTATTTCTGCGACTGCAGATTATATTTATCAATACCTTAGCTTTAGTCATATAATATTCAATATGAAATTGGAATTAAAAATATGAAACTTTCACATTTCATATTTTATTAGTCCTGTAGTAAAATAAGGACTTTCAAAATTAACGTATGTACCTAGAGAATATTTGATAGAAGTCTTTCTATATTATAAAAGTGTAATACGCAAATTGACCGAATGGCAGTATGAACCAGTTGGTGGGAGGCGGTGCCACTCCAGGCAAAGCACATGCCAGTGGGCAGGGTGTGGCAGCAACCAGCAGCAGCAGAGGGGCAATTGGGAACGGGCAGGGCTGGCTGCTTGCCAGCCAGTGTTGTTCCCCGATCAGTCCACACAGTTGCCACGGGCAGGATGTTGGGAGCTGGGAACGGGCAGGGCTGGCTGCTTGCCGCTGGCGACATCCCCCAATTGGCACGCTGGTTGCCTCCCTTGGGGAAGCGGGCCTAAGCTGTCAATCAGACATCCCCTGAGGGCTCCCAGACAATGAGATGGTGCAGGCTGGGCTGAGGGACCCATCAGAATGCACGAAATTCTGTGCAGCGGGCCTCTAGCTTGAATATAATTATGTTACACAGAATTATTTTTCTAAGTATTTTGCATTTAGTTACATCTAATATTATCACATTTAAAGTCTTTCAAAAAGCAATCAAAGAGAAGAGTATTTGAAACAAATGACAAAGCTCATTTTCAAATAAACAGAATAAAAATTCAAATAAAACAATGATAATTTCTGATTATCAGAGATTTTCCTTAAATGGACAGTTGTGATGCTTAATACTGACTAAATAACATGCTTTTAGGTGGTGGTGGTTTATTTATATAACATAATAAAAATCAGCATTTTACTGTGTCATCCATGTAATTAAAAACATCCATGTAATAAGTTAGTTTCTTTTGTTTCAGGTCTGGTGTTAATATTTCTATTTGATACATGATAATTAAAACTATTGTTTGTTAGTGATAAACTGTGTAATATTTTATGACATAAATAAAACTTTAAAATGGTAGAATCAAAGGTTTTGAAAAAATATGGCTTATAATCAAATGTTTATAATGAATAGCTGAGCAGATAACATTTTAAAAAATAAATGAGCGGAGAAACCAAGATGGTGGCATAGGGTAGACACCTGAATGCAGCCTACCACAACAAATTTGAATTTAGAACGGGAAAACAGGGGAAACATCGCCCTGAAGCGGCTGCTGAGAAGAGATTCTACCATCTGGGAAGGAGAGAGAAGGCACACTGAATCTCAGGAACTGTGAAGGTACAGAGAACTGTGCGAGCAAAAAGGTGGCCGCCTGACTTAGCTGCAAGCTTGTTTGCGGAGCGCAGAGAGGGCGGGCTGAGGTCCCTGCTGGCTTACTCCCTGCATGTGGAGAGGGCTTACAGCTAACATGCGGCTAGCTTTCTTGTTCAGGAGGAAAACAGAACCACCCTATTGCTCTTATAGACCGGGAAAACAGAACCACTCTATTGCTCTGATAGAGGGCCCCAGACAGGGAAAGGCCAGGCTGTCGGGCAGTAGGCAGAGATCTCTTGGAGGTGTGTGAAGCCAGCGGCCATTACTGCGGGACTCAGAAACCAGATCTTCGTAGGGAGGGGCTGAATAAAGCTTGTCTGCACCACCCGAGACTCGGCCCCATCCATGCAGAGCACAGAAGCCCTTCCAGTGGCTAGCGTTCAATGGTAGAATCAATTCGCAGTGAATGGGACTCTCCTGGGGAGTGACAAACAGGAATCTAAAGCGTGTCTGCACCTATACCAAAGAGGTGCGCATGCCTGCAACCAATTGTGTGGGATTCACCAAAGCTTGTCTGTGCCACCCCGAGACTCCACCCCATTCAAGCAGAATACAGAAACCCTCCTAGCTGAGACACTTCTGATCCTCATAGCCAATTGGCTTGGAGATCAATGCTTCCCAGTGATACCAACAACAAACAAGGCTTAACAACAAGACTGTACACACAGCCCACAAAGGGCTACACCAAGACTGTCCACCTCAGGTAACTGGGAGGCTGACTCACTGAACCATATAGGACACCTTAGCACACAAAGCCACCCTACCAACTCAGGGAAACTGTGAAAATGCCGAGACAAGGAAACAGATCACAAACAAAAGAAATGGAGGACAAGAAGCAACTGGATCTAGAGTTCAAAACCACGCTTATAAGGTTTTTAAAGAATTTCCTAGAAAAGACCAATAAAATAAACAAGACCTATGAGGATATGAAAAGGGATCAACTAGAAATAAAGAATACATTGTCTGAAATAAAAAATATTATTCAGAGTCCTAAAAACAGAATGGAAGATCGCAAGAATCAAGTCAAAGATTTGGAACACAAAGAGCCAGAGGACACTCCTCCACAAAAGCAAGAAGACAAGAGAATCCAGAAAGTTGAAGATAGTGTAAGAAACCTCTGGGACAATTTCAAATTAACCAACATCAGAATTATGGGGGTCCCAGAAGATGATAGAGAGCAAGATACCGAAAGAATACTGGAAGAAATAGTGACAGAAAACTTCCCCCACCTGGTGAAAGAAATAGACTTACAAGTCCAGGAAGCGCACAGAATCCCAAACAAAAGGAATCCAAAGAGGACCACACCAAGACATATCATAATTAAAGTCCCAAGAGCAAAAGACAAAGAGAGAATATTAAAAGAAGCAAGAGCTAAGCAGGTAGTCACCTATAAAGGAGCATCTATACGATTGTCAGCTGACTTCTCAACAGAAACCATGCAGGCCAGACGGGAATGGCAAGAAATATTCAAGGTGATGACTAGCAAGAACCTACAACCAAAAATACTCTACCCAGCAAAGTTATCACTCAGAATTGAAGGCCAGATAAAGAGCTTCACAAATAAAAAAAAGCTAAAGGAGTTCATCACCTCCAAACCAGAATTATATGAATTGCTGAAAGGGGTTCTTTAGGAAGAGGAAGATATAGATAAAAATTATGATCAACAAACACGTAACTATCAACAAGTGAAACTAAAAGCCAAGGGAATTAAAAAACCTAATGAACAATATTAAGTGGTGAATATAATAGAATCAGAGGTATGGAAGGGGAGTGGACTGACAATTCTTGGGGAAAAGGAGAGTGGGGATGCAGGAAGAGCCTGAACAAAAACTGTGCACCTATGGATGAGGACAATAAGGGGTGGGGAAAGGGCAGGGTGGGGTGGGAATCTGGTGGAGGGGAGCAATGGAGGGAGGGGGGAAAAATGAGGAACATTTGTAATAATATGAACAATAAAGATTTATTTAAATAAATAAATAAATAAATAAAATGAGCTAATTAATGCTAACTGTAGATATATATACACACACACATATTATGCACACACACAAATGTATACACATACTTATACTTATTCACATAAATATATGCATTATTAAATTATATATGTGTATATATATATAATTTTATATACATGAATGTATATGTAATTTTTTATTGCCAAACATATTCAAAGAGCAATGCTTTAAGAAAAAAGAGTTAATAGGCCACAGACTTACCACAGCTTAGGTTGCTTTCAGCTTTCAGAGCTAGGGTTGGGATATTCCAAAAGTCGTTTTCCCAGTCGACCACATTCCCTTTCGCATTACAGCTGAGGTTGGAGAGCATTCTGGAAGTCATGGTAAAATTCCAAAGTCGAAAGTTATAAATGTCCGCTTTTAGGGAGGCAATTCCATTTTGATCGGAGCCCAACAACAATCTCCCATTCCCAGAAATAACTTTATTAATGCTCGCATTGCATGGCATTCTTTCTTGCCTTCTTCTGTAATTGAGTTCAATATAACCCAAAGAATTATTCCAAACAAAGCAGACCAGCTCAAAGCTTTCTGCAAAAAATTCTTCTTTATCCTTGATAGGTATTACCCTGTTTATTAAACATTTTGAGCCAGCTATGGCTAGATAGTAGCCACTCTTGTCCTTTCCAAAACTGAGTAATTGTGTGAAGGATGCATTTGAGTAGGAGAAAGCCAACCATTCGCTGTCTTCCTTGCCAGTTCTGGCTGCTTCAAAACAGAGTGTGAAAGCGCTGAGGTTTGGAATAGAGACACTTTTTGCAACAGATATCTCGTACACGTCTAGTATCTGGGGTAAAACGGCCTTTTGATTCCTCAAGGACACAGCGACTAGGACAAAACATAACAACAGATAAAAGATGTTAACTTCAGATACAGACTGAGATTCAAAATGTCTGATACACCCAACTCTCCACTAATTGACTTTTTTGCCTACTGCTCTCCTCTTTCACTGTTCATCTACCCTCTATCACCAACCCATTACCTTATACCTATATTAGTACTAGCAATAAAAAAAAAAACACCCATTTAAACTCTAATCATGGATGAATATCACCTCAAAGATACAATCAGCCATGTTATCAAATAATAACAAGCATATTTCTTCATCCCTGAACTGAAAGGAAAAAAAATAATTAAAAAACTACTGGTTTCAAGAAAGCTCTATTCATATTTAAGACTTTAAAAAATATATGTTACTTTCAAATAATTTCTAAATATAATAACTAATAGTTCTAATTTTCATTAACAATTGCCTTTCTCCTCTTCAGACACCCCATATCCTAGCCATGTTCCCCATTACGAGGGTATTTAAAGAATGAAGGCAAAGACACTGCCTTTGAGGAGAGTCAGTTTAGTAACACAACAAACAAAACTGTAATTTTAAGCACTATTTCCTTTACATTTGAGTTAATTTGTGAGGAATATAAGAGGCAGTGGTTCAAAGGGCAGACGATGGAGGTCCCTATCCCAGCTTTTCCACTGTGCTCCTTGACCTTGGACAAGTGATTCACATTGTTCTCCCCTAGTCTTTTTATCTGCAAAATGAAGCACCATGGCACCTTACACAGGTGGTCAACAAGAATTAAACAAGTTAATGCTTGCAAAGTACCAGGGCGGTGCTTGTGCCATAGTCAATCTACAGCTAGTACTGATTACTAATATAGACTACTTTTATTATATGCATAATAAATTCAAAATAACATAAATTCGCCTATTCTTTCTGAGACATATGCAAAATGATTAAATAATACAATGCATTTAGCCCTATGCTAGTAAAATAGACACTGTGAAACACCATCAACTGATTTGAGAAAGAAGCAGCCCTCCTCAAAAATATTGCTTAATACTGGTTTCAAATGAACACTACTTTGAATATACTTTAATATATACCAAGAATAGGTTGATGGTAAGAAACATCATTTTATATAAATATTTTAGTTAAAAATCCATGATGGAATTTATTAGAATTGCATATGTTAGTCTACTTTTTAAATATGAAACAGTTCACAGGTCTATTTACCCAATGGGATCTTATGCAATATGAACCCAATATTCTGCATATGTTGTTAAAATCAAAAGGCTGAAAGCAAGCATGTCCACCAATATTTAATTTGCTCCTTTCTATTTTTAAATTTCCTATAATACTTTATCCTTTTAAAAACATTATTTGAAGAATTAAAGCATGTGTTTCAATTAACCACATACCTGTCCATTACAAAGAGTAAATAACCTTGCCATCAAAAACACACTTTAATCAGCTTAACAATAACCCACAACCTTCAGACCAACTAAAAAACACACTTTATAATGATGACTCATTTTCATTGTAGTGACTTTCTTTTTTGTTTCTTTCCTTGATACATGAAATCTACTTAAGAAGCTCCAGAGAAAAAAATAGTATAACTACGTCTCACAGTTTTGAAGCTTGGATTTTCCTTAAACATAGATGGGTTTTATAAAGAACAGAAGCATTTAAATATTAAGACATGCCGGAATCCGGGAAATGTATTGGATAAAAATGTATTTTCTTTCCTTCAATTGGCATTTTTTTCAAGAGGCTTTCCTCAGTTTATGTTGTTTATAGCATCAGTAATAAATAGCTCTTTTAAAATTTTTAATTTCTATGCGAATTTTTATGTTTATCCCCTAGCATAGTTCCTTAAAAGGCAACATCTTAAAAGCCTAAAAGAAGATGATTGCTAAATAGGAATGTTTTAAACATTCAGTAGAGAGATGTTAAAATTAAAGATTTTAATTATTAGCTGTGGAAAATCTACTGTCTTCCAAGCAGCCTTTATATGTTCTGCATGTAAACTATATAAAGGAATTTAGCTCTACTGCAAGCAAATCTTTTTGGATCTGCTAGCTTTCTATTGCTAATGAGAATACTCAGTGAATATTAACAACTTCTTGCCCTTACATTCTAATCCTAATCATTCACGTTCACATAAAAGAGCATAAGTCTGGCTCCTGGTCCTGTGTTTATTGTAGAGCATGTTAAATGAAAGCAGAAGGTTGGCACTGTCTTTGGTTTACATACCTCTGATGTAGCTGGCATTGAAACCTTTCTTCTGGATGCTAAAGTCACTGGAAAAGGACACAAGCATCTCATTTGCACTTGAGTTGAATGATAGGCCTTTGGCAGTTGCTCCACAAAATTTCTTCTGGCTCTCTCCATTATCAAGGGATAATGAGTCATAAATGCAATTGGGCGCTTCTTCAATGTCGAAGTCATTAAACGTTATCTGAATGATATAGCCAATGGGGGCGCGGAGGGTCCACATGCAATACTGGGCGTTGGGGTAGTCGTTAGGGTAGCATGGAGAAGTAAAGGTCCCTGAAGGGTTGGAGAGCACAAGCCTGCAGTTGGCACATCCGCACACTGTTGGCCAGACAAAAAAGAGACAAGAGAGAAGGGCTAGGATCAGAGGCCGTGCAATAATCCAAGAATACCACATGCTGGGGACAAACAGTAAACATTTTAAAATACCAAAACATAATCATGAATATTCAAAGGAAAGCAAAGCCATCTCAGGGGAAAAGAAGCAACAAATATAAACCAACAAAGCAACAAAAAGTGAAAAGAAAAATACATATTCTAGAGCAATCATTTTTAAACTGGTATCGAGGATGGAGGGGGGCATGTACTCTGAGAATCTGATGAAATGTTTCTGGTAAAATGCACAGGGGCCACTACCTTTGGCCTACATTTTTAAGAGTGCATGAGGCTTCACAAAGCTTCACTGAGTGTCGATAAGAATCTCTGATTCTAGAGAGTAATTGAACTGGGTTTGAAGAACCATAAAGGTAGAACTCAATATTAAAACTGTGGATCTAAAGGAAGAGAAACACTTAGGAAATACGTGTTTAAAAAGAAAGCAAGCAGAAGTGGAATTGCTGGGTCATAAGGTAGCTCTACTTTTAATTTTTTGAGGAACCTCCATACTGTTTCCCATAGTGGCTGTACCAATTTGCATTTCAACCAAAAGGCAGCGAGGGCACTCTGGTTCCCATCAATAGATGGTGCATAAAGAAGATGCAGTGCACATCTGCAGTGGAATATTACTCAGCCATAAGAAAGAACATAATCTTTCTTTTTAATGTATTTTATTGATTTTTATTTTATTTTTATTTTATTTTTTTTTTTACAGAGAGGAAGAGGGATAGAGGCATCGATGAGAGAGAAACATCAACCGCACACCCACTACTGGGGATGTACCCCCACCCAAAGTACATGCCCTTGATCAGAATCGAACCTGGGATCCTTCGGTTTGCAGGCCGATGTTCTATCCACTGAGCCAAACCAGTTAGGGCAAGAACATACCGTATTTTCCGGCGTATAAGACTACCCCCCACTTCCGAGGCAACACCAGTTTGTTTTTTTAATAGACTGCCTCTCTGACTCTGTCCAATCTGAGCAGGCTTTTTACTAGAACACAGTGTATCCAAGACCCAAGTAATATTCATGATATCCTTTATCACAATATATGGGTATATGGTTCTTGCCAAATTCTTCCCTAAGAATTGAATGAAAGATAAAGGAAAATTCAATTTGATTGAAAATACTGACTATGTAATTTTGAACAAGTTCATCTTTCTGTGCCTCAGTTTAACCAACTTTATACAGGTGGTAGTAACAGCACCTGTGTCCTAGGGTTATTGGGAGGACTAGAAGGGTCAGTATTGTGAAGTTCTGGGAGCTGTACAGGTATAGTTAGCATTATTTCAGGGTTGGCTATTATTCATCATTACTATAATATACACTATGTGCATCGATAACTTAAGAAAATAGCACCCACTTCAGTAGGATGTTGTGACTGTTTGGCAATAATCTACTCATTTATACTTTTACAAAATTTTATTTTTCAAAGGAACTCAAACCTAAAATGGAAAATCTCCCAGTCATGCCAAAGCCTTCTTAATTTATAAACATTTAAATACAGATTCAATAACCATTATCTTATGGGGTTTTGTAATCTCAGAGATTTAAATTTCTACTCCACTATTGATCCAGCTACTTCTCTGTAAATAAAATATGATGTACTTTGAAATTTTACAAAAACAGGAGTTTCAGAACAAAGGAACTAAATCTAGAGATCAATTTTAGCTACTTTCAACACAGATCTGTAGATGGAATAATTGTTTTTCCTGTACTGTGTTAAATGCTGAACAAGATACATTCAACTTAAATTTTGTTCTTTGGTTGAATTTCTGTGAAATTTTCACTAATGAATTTGTTGGACAAGCTAGCCAATGAAAATCATTTTCAGAACATTTAGCTCAAGTTGCAGGCTCAGCTTGCATCTATTTAAAGTCCTTTTTTGAATGATCTATGTGACTATACTTAATTCTAATGAGTGAAAAGTCTGTTAGTTGCTTACAGTGGTTTAAAATATTTAGCAGCCTTGATGGTTTTTGAAGATTAAACCTAATGGCCAGCAGTTGGTAATTCTAGGGCCAATTCTAATGCCTAAATCATTACAAAACCAGGACAGCCACATACCAACTCTTCAGATCAAGTAAAATGCTGCCAGATATAACTTTATTAAAGTGTAAAATAAAACTTTAGATACTGGAATGTATTAAATGACTGATAACATATAGTGCTGAACAACTTCATCAAAGTAAATGTAATCTTAAGTGATTTCTGGCCTCTATGCAGATTTCAGGATGGCAAGGAATCTGGAGGCAATCTGGCTGTGAATTTGCAATTCACAACAAATCTGTGATTCTGCTAATGTGATAGACTTGGCAAGTATCCCATCCTCCCTTACCTCTCTTCCTTAAGCTCTGCACATAAAGTAGCATCTCATGTTGGGAGGATCGCTCCTAAACCAGGGCTATATCGGTCATTCCAATCTCCTGCTACGACTTTCAGCAGCCAAGCAAGGATATCAGTTTATTCCTCAAACTCTGGTTTCCCCAGTGTTAACCAGAAAATTGTTTGATTTCCCTCTGTAATGTTTCCAGCTCAAAATATTCTTTGGTAGCACCATGAATATGAGGCTACCACTTACTTCAATCACTTCAATAAAACTTGATATAGCTAGAAAATTAACAAGAAGCTGAATTACAGTTTCCTTGATGAGGCGCCTTTAAGCTTGACACTTTTTTGAATCTTCAAAGAAATTCACATGCACCACACCCTCCAACACATTTCTATCTTCATAAAAATGTTAATGTTTAAACTTTGAGTCCTGTCTTTCCATAATCAGTTTAGCATGAGAACATTCCATACGTAAGGGCAAAGGTAATACTTTTGGAAGATCCAAACAAGTGAACTGTTGTAAATCCATCTAGAGTCAGCTTATTACCTTGATATATATCCTTTGCAAGGGGATTAAAAACATAAGCACCCGCATGCATAAGCACCCACACCCACACCCACACACATTTTCATGGGAAACTTCCTTCTTAAGCAGTAAGTAGTTGAGTCTTTCTCCAGTACTTATAGAAAAGAAAATCTAAAGGCGATGCATAATTTAAAACAACCTCATCTGCCTGGTCTATCACTTACTCTACCTTCTGGATAATATACTCAAGTCTCTTGTCCTCTTCCATATTCCTATACTGGAACCACCCCCCATCCCCTCAAAAACAAACAAACAAACAAACAAACAAACAAACAAAAAACAACACTCTGTGTTAATCCAGCCATGGATCTTCTTGCTGTCTCATGCATAGGCTTTTGAACACTACTGAAAAGAATTCACAAAATATTGGACATTATTTATATTAAAGAATTCACAAAGCATTGGATATTACTATATTTAAAAGACTTCCAATTTTATCTCACTCACCCTCGGCACATTCAATGCCAGAACATTCGTGATTCTTTACTCTCTACCCCATAGTCCCTACCTTCTCCTTTTTCTCCTCCTGCCCTCACTCGGCCCTCTTTGAGAATCCCCAGTCCTCCACTTGTCCTTACATCCTTGCTATTCCAAGTCTGGCCCTTAGACCAACAGCATGAGCAGCAGCATCAGCTGTTGGGAGCATGGTCAGTATCAAAAATCACCCAGACCTACTATTTAAAATTTGTATTTTAACAAGATTCTCTGGTGATTCGTAAGCAGATTAAAATTTGAAAAGTGTTCCTTTAAATAACAATATACAACAGAAGTTATTCACAGTCTCCATGCATACACCTTTTCCCAAGAAGATGTGCTCTTCCTACATCTCCTGCAGTCATATTTATACCATGACCTCCAACTACCCAGTCAGATTCTCTTTTTGATATTTTGTTGCTCTTGTGTGTGTGTTTAATCCTCACCCAAGGATATTTTTCCATTGATTTTTAGAGACAGTGGAAGAGAGAGGGAAAGACAGAGAGAAATATAGATGAGAGAGAAACACATTGGTTGGTTGCCTCCTGCATGCACCCGGACCAGGGCCTAGGCCAGGAAGAAGCCTGCAACAGAGGAACATGTCCTTGACCAGAATCGAACCTGAGACCCTTAGGTCTGCAAGCTGATGCTCTATCCACTGAGCCAAATTAGCTAGGGTTCTCTTTGAGAATTTGAAGTCAGAAACACAGATAATTTATTCAAGAGAATGGTGAACAATGGGATGGTGAAATGATATAAATTCAGAGGTGACAGATGCCTTGGCTACCTGCAAAGGACATGGATGGGCAGACAACAAAAAGGGAAAGAGCATGAGGAAAATGGACAGGACAGAGAGATGACAAGAAACAGACCTTTGAGAAGCACAAAGACTTTCACTGTAGGCATTTCACATCTAGTCATCAATAGGGGAAGCTGTTCTTTGTAGACTGTGTTTGGAATCTATGACAAGAACTCTTCTTATACATACCATGCCACTTCTTCACTTGATCCAGCTTTAGTGTGTTTCTGTTCCTTACAACCAGGTATGCTTCAAGCTCACAATTTTTGGGGCTCCTCTCTTTAGTCCTCTCTCTACTCTCATTCTCTCTGGGTGATTTCATACAAACACAGGACTTCATTATGTCCAAATATTGATGACATTCATGGTCTACTGAGCATCACACCCACACTTGTGAACATCAACTTGACATCTCCACTTGGATATCTCATAGATCCCTCAATTCAAATACCAGTCCTCAAGTAATTTATTTTTATACACTTCACAGTTGTTAGCAGTATGAGAATCATCTAAGCTAGAACTCTGAATAGCCTTCCTCTCTTCCTTCTCCAACACCATTTCAAATAGTTTTTCAAGGGTTATGATACTTACATTATTCACGGTTATGTAACTTATTTCCTCATCTCATTCCCATGGCCACTTAATTTAAGGTTCTCATATTTCCTCTCTTGAACAAAAAACTCAGTAACTAGTCTCCCTGTCAGTAGTCGTATTACTTCCAACCCATCCTCCACATCACTACAAGAAACATCTATG